TATATAGGCCTATATATTATATATATAATGTTAAATACCTCACAGTCCTTACTCAGCATTTTTATCGATGAGCTTTCAAGTCGGGCAACGGTACCATTTTCTCCGGAACTTGCTTGGATATAGTGACCTAATTTAAAAAGAAATAGATAAATATATATGTTCCTAAGAAATTGAGGTCCAAGCAACACACTAAAAAATTACAAATTAATAGAGTAGATCATACCGTAATCGATTTTCAAAGTATGATCGCTTGTTATTGGTCCAGATCCAATATAATATGAACTCGTCTTAGTGGACTTTATTATCCAATCCAAATCGTCATTATATACTTGTCGCCAGTCGCAGAAGTCAACTTCAAAGTCGCATGTTGCAGGATAGCCTTCTGTAATAATTTACCAAACATATTACGTAAATATTAAATACACATTTTGATAATTTTCACCTGTAATTAAAAATATAAAATTTACTCAGATTGACAAGCATTATGGTCAAACCAACAGTTAGCTCGTACACTTTATTAGATAAAATTTCAATTTATTATACAGGCCTCCCTCTAATAAAGACTCCTGCAATTAAAGACAACCTCCAATTAAAGACCACTGTTGTCCCAAATTAACAAATGTATAAAGAAAATAAAAACCCAGGTCCCAAAGGTGGTCTTTAATTAGAGGGAGACATGTAGTTGCTAATAAAGAGAATCATCATCCGTTCTGCTTACCACAGTATGCTTCGTCTGAAAAGTCTCCACAATCGTTGCCGTAATCACAGACTTGTTCAAGGTCAATGCATTGCTTGTTAGAACACGTCATTTCACTAGGCGCGCATTCATCGGTTATATTAACTTTTTGAAAGGGTATTGATGTAACGAGAAAAAAAGATAGGCACATGTAATAATTTAAAGACGAGATGTTACGTATTTAGTCCTATTAATATAATGCCGTTATGCAAGCTCTTCACTGCGCATGTTAGCACCAAAGTTCAAGACAAGAAAATCGATTGCCTATTATATAGTAATGTGCAGTTGAAATTACGAGAAAGCTAAGAAGTTAACTTACTTGATTGATTACAGTTAATGAGCCTGACGTCATCGATGCTTATACCACCACCGATATGATTTACAGTACGCCTAGCTTGTATGACAATCTAAAACAAAAACAAGATGAAAGCCTTAAAAATTACGGTACCACTATATTTGATAAATTTACTTTTGGTTAGTACATTTATTTTCTATCTCAATAACAGGCTAAACAATCCATTTATAATTGTATCAATTAACATACTGAAAAATTGAGTCCTCTCCCTATATACACATTAGCCTCTGTCCACTGTTGACCCTTTTCAAGAAGCTGCATCCAAACCTCCTTTTTCACAGCACTATATTCAAGAATGACGTGCAAAGAACTAGTACCAGCTCCCATAATTTGATACCAAAAGCGCATTTGACAGTCTTGAGTTCCTCTGGAAATCCATGTATACAACTTAGCAATGTCGTCCCTAACTGTTTCTCCAAAGGAACCATCTGCGTAAATATAGAATCCTATATAACACAAAGAGAAGGTGAATAGCGTACGATATATTCTTTCATTAGCTTTTGATTCGGAAGATTATAACA